TGTTTTGTTTGCTTGTTGCATAGGCTACTTCTCTTTATCTTTCTGTGTTCAGTCTATTTGTGTCCTTGTGTCTAAGGTGTTTTTCTTGTAGACAGCAAAATGAGGCCTCTTGTTTTTCTCCCCATTCTGCTACTCTCTGGTGCATTTAGACCACTTACATTTAAGGCTATTACAAAAATGACATGTCTAGCTCACTCCTTTTGCTCTCTGTTTTTTGAGTGTGTTTAATTCCTTTGTTATTTTATTCTGAATTTTCTGTTTTTATTGTATTTGATTACTTTCTTGTTGATGAGCCTTTCTGCTAAATTCTTTTCTTCACATTGTTTCTTGGTGATTGCCATACTACGAATTGACAAAATGCTTTACATGAACACCAGTTAACATACAGCCTTAGCAAATCTATTCCTGATATGTTCCTCCTCCTTCCATTTCTGTCCTTGTGTCTCCATTGATATCAATATACAGCGTTTATCTTACAGACGTGGTGGTATGTTGTTTACAAGATTTAGTTTATTTCTTAAACATAGTATTAAGCTTGCTCTGTTATTGCTCATTTTGTGCTTTTTTGAGATCTCGCACACATTCCTCTTTTGTGTATTTATTTAATTGTAGTATAGATATAAGTATTTATTTACTGCTCTTACCTTTTCATTTGTAATGTTACCTTGCATAATGCTTGCAGAGCAAATTCCCAGATCTTCTGTGTGTTTGGAAATGTATCAATCCCCCCTCGTTTTGGAATGAAGCTTTGCTGACTGAAGAATTCTGGTTGGTCACTGTTTTTGTTGTGTGTTTATGTCACTCCATAGTCTTCTGTGGAAACCGGCCTTGATTATTACGAAAGCTCATTGGCATGGCTTACTGCATTCTGCTGCTGCTGCCTTCAGATTTCTCTACGTTCATATCCTGGGTTTTCAGGAATATTATTAGCATATGGCATAGGTTGATATTTTTGTGTCTCTTCTAATTGGGACTTGTATCTCTTCCTGTATTGGCAGGTGTGGCTCTCTCTTCAGATCTGGGAAATATTTTCTTTTTTGGGGGGGGGTTTCTGATTATCTCTTATAAAATCATTTGTATGCTTTTATTGTTAGAGTGTTTTGAGAGTCCAATAATTCTAATGTTAGATTTCGTTGCTGAATCCTCATTTCTTTTTAGGTTTGTTTTGCTTTTCTTTGTTCTTTCCTCTTGGTTTCCTTGACACTTATCGTATATACTCGAGTATAAGCCAATCCGAATATATGCCAAGGCACCTGATTTTACCGCAAAAACTGCATTTTAAAATGTGCTGAAAAACCCAGCTTACACTCAAGTATTTACAGTAAATTATTTGTCTAAACTCAAAAAACCTCAAACTCATTGCCATGATTCTGACTCATAATGACCCTATAGGACAGGGGACAGCTGCCCCTGTGAATTTCTGAGATTTTAGATCTTGACAGGAGTAGAAAGCCTCATCTTTGTTTCTTGGAACACATAGCCCACTGCACCGTTGGGCTCTGCTGCATTCGTTTATCTTGTGTGTGGTTGACTCTGTTGTGGAGTATTGGAGTTTGTTGTTGTTTACTAATTCTCTTGCTTCATTCTTCCCTTCCAGTAGTTCTTTCTCCACTCCACCTTGTTAATGTTTTCAGTTTCCATGTCTTTGCTCATTTTGTTCCTTTGTTTCCTGATCTCTACTATGTTTTCTGTGTGTGTGTTTTTGCCTCCTTTAAGCATTTTTCTCTGATTTTTAATTCTTTCCTAAATTATATTACTCATGTGATATATTCTAATTATGTTCTTTCATACCTTGTATAATCTTTATCTCACATCGAAGTTGTAGGTTATAAAGTTCGTCTGTGTTGGGAGTGTGTATGTCTTCCTGGAATGCACTAATTGTCTGTAGGGCTATTTTAATGGATACCAATGGAGGTCCATTTGTCTGACCTTTTCTGACTACCCTTTTGCCAGGAGGCAGGATGCAGACAAGACCCTATAGTCCATGCTTCTTTTTTTTTTTCCTTTTTTTTTCTTTTTTAAACATTTTATTAGGGGCTCATACAACTGTTATCCCAATCCATACACACATCAATTGTGTAAAGC